CTAAGTTTAAATGGAAATAAATACTTTATATCATGTACTGACATTAAATCCTTATGATAGAAAAAAGAAGATGTGGTGTGATTGCCAATGAGACAGCTCGTCACAAGAAATCAAATGACACAGAAATTAACAACTATAGGTCGCCGTACGGCCTTCAACAATGAACAAAGCTCATACAACACAGTCAGCTATAAAAGGCCCCGAAATGACAAGTTTAAAACAATTCAAACGAGGAAACTAACGGCCTAATTTATGTACAAAAAAATGAACGAAAAACAAATATGTAACACAGCAACAAACGACAACCACTGAAATACAGGCTCCTGGCTTGGGACAGGTAAATATATACAGAATGTGGCGGGGTTAAACATCTTAGCGGGATCCCAACCCTCCCCTAACCTAGGAAATTGGTGTAACAGTACAACATAAGAACGAACTATAAAAATCAGTTGAAAAAGGCTTAAGTCATCAGATGGATACAAATAGAAATACATCTCAAAAATGTTTGTTTGTTTTCTATACTACTGTAATGATGTAAAAATAAGAATTTGTGGAATGATTGTGTTGCCATATAAATTTATCAAAAGAGTAAGGATAGTATGCTTTACTACACTATACGCTATGTTTACAATATATTTACTCATTCGTTCATCCATTGACGGACAGTGAGAGAAAAAGCTCCGTTTTGAAGGCCGTACTTTGACCTATAATGGTTTACTTTTACAAATTGTGACTTGGATGGAGAGTTGTCTCATTGGCACTTATACCACATCTTCTTATATCTATTAGAACGTTTTGGATATCTCAATCAAAACGGTTGCCTTTCGAACGTGTATTTTATGTCCGCTTCGAAATACACAAGTTTTAAACTTCCCCATTAGAAACAAAATAATTCTATCATGCCATGCTCTACGCTCATTTTAACATAGGTAGGCATTATATTTGTCAATATTTTATACCTGGCTATCGCTTGGTTTAAAAATTTTAACAAATATAATGCCTTCCTATGTTAAAATGGGCATTGAGCATGGCATGAAAGAATTATTTCTTTTTATAAATAAAAGTTGGTTTGCAACATTATAACGTCCAATATCTTCGTCTTCGTAGAACAACCTAATTGGCAATTTAGCTCGTGAAAAATGACAATGAGACAGCTTTCCATCAGAGACCAAATGACGTAAAAGTTAACAAATATAGAACACCGTATGGCATCCAACAATGAGAAACGTCCATATGGCATAGCAAGCTAAAAAAGGCCCCGAAATGAAAACTGTAAAAAACAAAAAAGTAATGTGGAAACTAACGACCTAGATTTATGTACAAAACAAAAAACGAAAAACAAATACATGTATGATATATAGCAACAAAAGGCAACAACCGATTTACAGGCTCCTGAATTCGGTACTGGTACATACAGAATGGCGAGGTTGAACGTGTAAGCCCCCCCCCCCCCACGCTCCCCCTCCAAAAAAACAACAACAAAAAAAGTGGTATAACAGCACAACATATGAACAAACTATAAAATTCAGTGAGTTGAAAAAGGCTTAACTCATTTGATTACAGAGCCCCTATAGTAAATATGCGATTGGTGGCTGTCTCTGTTTTTTCGTCTTTTATTAAATTTTATGATGGTATACGATATAGTTACATTATATCAGAGGAGATTCAGGGGAGTAGAGGGAGTACGCCGACCCCCCCCCCTTTTTTGGTGGCTAGAAATAATTATTTTATCATGTTTTTTAGCATTTATATATGATTTTTTATTAAGCATAAAATCGTTAAAAAAAAGTTCCCCTAGCTACGCTCAGCGGTATAAAATCCGTTAATGAATACGCTCCTTTCAAAAATCATGGCCTCGGTCCACCATTGCTTATTGACAATTTTAAACTTGACCAAATTGCTTAAATTGTAGAACATTTGTCAATGTACGATAATCATTATACAATGAAGAGATAAACCTATATATAATAGTTGTACTATATAGGGCAGTTGTTAACAACTTGATACTAGTGCATTAAAGAATTTGTTAATGTTAAAAAAAAAAAAGAAAAAAAAGAGAGATAAAACATCGTTTATTTATAAAAACTACTAATCAAATAATCATTATTGCAATTTCCGGATGGCCTAAGTTTTTTTATACTAGTTTATACTTTGTATTATTGTAACAAGGAGGGGTAAACAGATTTTTAACGCACTATTATTGTGATCCTTTGCGCCGTATGGAAATTCCTTTTCTTGGGCGATTCTGCATGCACATACATTTGTCTTATTCTCTTGCTTTATAATGAACGTTTAGTTTCAGAATATTTATTTTCAAACGATTATACTGTCTTCCCTTTAAGTAGAGCGGAACACTAAGATAACCATCTTGTTGTCCCAGAAAATCACATATCAAATGTGCGTCCTTAAATTTTCAAGGCCGTACACTAATTAAGTTTGGACACTTAAATTTACATAGATGATATAAAAAAATCTAATTCCGTTTCAAAACCTTCATTTCTTTTTAATTTTTCCTTTTTTTTTATACAAAATAAAATTGAAATTTGCTTTGTTCTAATATAGCAGGAATTCAAGTGTTTACGGATTCAAAAAGGTTATAAGTTATCCTCTGAAAGAAAATGATTTTCAACGATCCCTCAAACTGCTGTTGAACGCCATATTTTAATTTTCGTCATGCGATTATGCATTATTTTCTATGACAAAACCGGGTCTGCTTTGTGAAATTTAAGGACAAAACCGGGTCGTACACATTGACAAAACCGGGTGCTTCAATTTTGACATGACCCACTTCTTTCATTCCATGCACAGACATGCAAATATTGAGGCGATCATAGTGAAAAGTCTTGAAATCTCCGTGTTAATATCTTTCTTTCCGTACCTTTCTTTCCGTACAATGTGCTCAATTTAAAGAGAAATTAAACAAATTCGAGGCAGGGTTCACTCAATTCACCATTTTGATGTGCATTTTTACTTATTTCTCCATAAATCTAGAACGGTGGTAGAAAATATTACATCACACTATCGAAAAAAGTTATATGTGTATGTATATTCTTCAATATCATTAAAACAACAAATAAATAAACAGAATTTCTACATTTCTCTGTCTGTTGATTGTCCGTCACCGTACCGGACATTAGATACTATTGAGTCCAAACATTTTTCGCCGGGGTAGTTTAGATACAGTGGCCTACGATGAATGAAAAACGTTTCTATAGCCCGGTTGGGACTATCAAAATTTACTTGGTCAAAGTTACCTTTGACCAGGTAAACTTGGTCCAAGTCATCTGTTGTCACTATCAACGTTTTTCATCAAAAACTTGGTCAAAGAAGATAACTGCACTGTGATTGGACAATACCAGTCCAAGTCAATCCAGATTTCAAGAAAAATAGGATGAGATTCTTTCACTAGGAAAAATTTGTACAACACAATAGATAGTGATAGTGATGTCGGTTGTTTCATGCACTTTCCATGACTAAAAGGCTCAATTTAGCTGTTAATAAGCAATGGTCCTTGATTTAATCAAAAATAGTCTATAAATTATTTTATTGCAATTACATGATCACAGATCATCAATTTTTTTCAAATTCAAATATGTAGTTACTGATGACAAAAAAACAGGTCAAGTTTGATTTTGACGATTTTCACTTTTTGCTGTTTTGGAGTTGCGCTCATTGAGGGCTTTTCAAAATATGTTATTACTGATAAATGTTTTCCGAAGGAAATCCGGTTAATGATTTGGGGTCATATGGCATACGATTGGGCATTCGGGTGGATCGGTCGGCGGGCTTGTTTCCGTTGCACTAACTTATGATATGCTGTTAAAATTTTAATACAAATGTGTGTTATTACTGTTGACAAAATAGAGGTCAAATTCGATATTCACGATTTTTCGCTTGTCGTTCAGGAGTTATAATTCTTGTATGATTGCAATAACGTTCAACCAATGGATTTCAAATTGTGTATATTGTTACTGGTAACAAAATGGAGGTCATGTTCGATATCGACGATTTTCATTTTTGCTGTTAAGAAGTTATTGTCATTTTGTTTATTTTCTTTTGTTTCCTATTCTGACATCGGACTCGGACTTCTCTTATACTGAGTTTTACTGTGCGTACTATTGTGCTTTTGTTTTTTCTACATTGGCTAGAGGTATAGGGGGAGGGTTGAGATCTCAAAAAACATGTTTAACCCCGCCGCATTTTTGCGCCTGTCCCAAGTCAGGAGCCTCTGGCCTTTGTTAGTCCTGTATCATTTTTAATTTTAGTTTCCTGTGTATAATTTGGAGTTTAGTATGACGTCCATTATCACTGAACTAGTATACATATTTGTTTAGGGGCCAGCTGAAGGACTCCTCCGGGTGCGGGAGTTTCTCGCTGCATTGAAGACCCATTGGTGGCCTTCGGCTGTTGTCTGCTCTATGGTCGGGTTGTTGTCTCTTCGACACATTCCCCATTTCCATTCTCAATTTTATGATCGTTGATTAATTGGAAAATAGTACTTTGTCAATTTCGTGCATTTTTACATAAGTGATATCGGTTGTTTCATGTACTTCCCATGACTAGATATCACTATCACTATCACTATTTTGTTGTACAATTTTTACATAATTGCTTTCCAAAGTTTGATATGGTGTAACTGATGACAAAATGAAAGTAAAGTTTGATATGGACGATTTTCACTTGTGCCATGCAGAAGTTATGCTCCTTAATTGATTGGAAAATTGCATTTTGACAGCATCTTGCTTAAAATCTTTAGCTTATTCTTTAGTCTATATTGTCTTGTTTATAAGGATGATGATTTCAATATACATCCATAAAAGGTGCAATGCATCTTAATTTAAAGTTAAATACTTGTATTAAATTTTGTACTGAACATGAATGAAATATAACTGGACGAAAAGCAAATAACAATTAATCAATCATTTATAAAATTATACATAAAATTTAGATCGGCTTTTAAACAAATAAAAAATGCTAGTTTTTATTCCATTTCATTACAGCGATGAATACATGGATAATAGTAACTGGTCTGGATATATCAGGATGTTGTATTTTGCTGCTGTGTCTTATATTCTACTGTATATTTATTCATTGCACTGTTTTGGATTATCGGAAAGTCAGTTGTGGTGTATTATTGTGTATACTTGTAATGCTGAGTGGTAAGTAAAACGTATTAGTAACGAAAACTTAACAAGTGAACACTAAAACCATTGAATACCATCTGTCAAGAGTCTTGGTGACTTGGTAAAGGCTCAGTCAATAATCTGATTAACCATCTGTCAAGAGTCTTGGTGACGTAGTAAAGGCTCAGTCAATAGTCAGATTAACCATCTGTCAAGAGTCTTGGTGACTTGTTGAAGGCTCAGTCAATAGTCGGATTATATGCATTCAGTTTAGAAGTTTCATTTGAACTAATTGGTTAACATATACATAGTAACATGCTACGCTTCTACTTGTTCTACGCATGAACCTAATAACAAGTAATTTATATCAGTTATATTCTTCATATGCTCCTAAAAATATGTTCACGTAATTTAGGAGTGTCCTGGCTTCTCATCTATTCAGAAGTAACAATTTCTTACATTCAATCCCAATACCATAACATCTTCAAAAATATAAAACAAAACGACTCACTATCAAAAATTTGTAAGGGATCTATGAACTAAACAATAAATTGCAGAAAATAACGGATAAAAGGACAAACACTCCAATAAGATGTCAATTGCCATGTTGACTTGTTTGTATACTTTCTTTGCTTGATATTTTTGCTGTTTACAGTATATCTCAATCTATAATGATATTCGAGATAATTAACAAAAAATACAAAATTTCCTTTCCTCCGCTCCAAAATTTATTTCATCCAGGGCCTGTATAATGCTGAAAATGCCTTTAAATGTTTTATGGAACACCCTTCAAAAAAAATTTGGGCAGGGGTTCCCCTGACCCCGACTTACCCGCCGGGTTGGGGTGAGGGTGGGGGGCATTCACCCAATATAAGTATGCTGAAAGAAAAAAGATAATAATGGTTTATAGAAAAAGTAACACTGAATAATTCTGAATAATGGAACATATCAAGGAGAAATTATTAGCACCACCCCCTGAAAAAAAATGCACCCCTGGAAAAAAAATCAAGTCATCCCATTGTAGTCCTACAATAGTTACTGAAGACCCCTTATCATTATCTAAATTATTTTTCAAGTTGTGACCTTTTGAAATTGTTTTTTTACATTTTTCCCGTAGACTTATATAGTAAACCCCTATGTTCTATTTTTACCAATGGTGGACCATGTTGGTTGTATGGTAGGGTCATCGGATACATTTTTCAATCAAGATACTCTAATAATAATTGTTGCTTAGTTTAATTCCATTTGGCCAAGTAGATTAAGAGGAGAAGATTTTTGTAAAAGATTATAAGCTTGTTTTCGATATATAAGCCATCTAAATTTGGCTGGAAATAATTCTCTCTAGATTTTTCATGAATTTAAGATTGGCTACTATTTTCTTTCAAAAGCTATGAAAAAATAACAAGTATTATTTAAGATTTTCAAATATGGCTTTTTAAACTATGTGTAATAAAATAATAAAAAGAAAAGTAGGGGTTTTCAGGTATTTTTTTTAATGGTACTACATGGATAAAACCAGAGGATTCCGAATAACTGGCAAAAATTCAAAAACACGAGGAGCGAACATCCTTAAGGGGTCAATTGAAAATTTTGGTAATGTAGACCTGATGAGCATTTTGGCCCCGTTAGATTTGCTCTAAATGCTTAAGTTTCAGAGACATGAGCCAAAAACTGCATTTTACCTCTATGTTCAATTTTTAGCCATGGCGGTCATCTTGGTAGATGGGGGGTCATCGGATGCATTTTTAAAACTAAATACCCTAAGGATGATTAAGGCCAAGTATAGTTTAACTTGGTCTAGTAATTTCAGGAGAAGATTTTTGTAGAAGATTACAAAAATTTACGATAAATTGTGAAAATTGACTTTAAAGGGCAATAACTCCTGAAGAGGTCAATTGACAATTTTTGTCAAGTCGATTTATTTGTAGATCTTACTTTGCTGAACAATTTTGCCGTTTACAGTTTATCTCTTATCTATTATGATATTCAAGATAATAACCAAAAACTGCAAAATTTCCTTAAAATTACCATTAAGCAACCCAACAACGGGTTGTCTGATTTGTCTGAAAATTTCAGGGCAGATATATCATGACCTGATGAACAATTTTCTCCCTTGGTCAGATTTGCTCTAAATGTTTTAGTTTCAGAGATATAAGCCAAAAACTGCATTTTACCCCCATGTTCTATTTTTAGCCATGGCGGCCATCTTGGTTGATGAGCGGGGTCATCGGATACATTTTGTAAACTAGATACCCTGAGGATGAATTAGGCCAAGTTGGGTTTTATTTGGCACAGTAGTTTCAGAGGAGAAGATGTTTTGTAAAAGTTAACGGACGACGGACGCCAAGTGATGAGAAAAGTTCACTTGGCCCTTTTGGGCCAGGTGAGCTAAAAAGTAATTGGAATACCTATAATAAAATGCTGTGTTCTCACATGTCCTGTAAACAAACAGATGAATATGGACAACGTTCAAGCTTATATATGGTTGTATCGATTGTTAAATGTACACTAGTTGTTATGATCTGTTTCAAATGTACCCACTTCCGTAGAATATTTTGAACCATAGACTTTTTTTGCACATTACACTCTGACTCTCAACCACCAGTTATACTACGACATAGTTGAAAGTCCTTTGCGTTTTCTCAGCAAATGACGATATTTCCAAGTCTTTTGTTTGACCTACCAAAGATCAAACCCACGACCTCTAGCACTCAGGCAGCCGTGCTACCATTACACCACTTGTTTCGGTGCATGATATTGATTGTCATAGTATATTATTTTATTAATTTTTAATACATAGTACACTGATAGAAACTTAGTCTTGTTCGACAATGACACCTATGCTATGGCTGTGGGGAATGAATAGATATAAATAAGATGGATTTAACTCGTAAATACTAATTGGAAAAGTGCCATACAAGAGAGCTTCTATTTTATCCCTGAAACTATTTTAAGAACGTTAATTGCATTTTATTTTCGATCAATTTATTACTTCGTAGATGAACCTCGAATGAAGCCGTATTCCAGAAGTACCTGTTCACTATAGAACGCTCAGATGTGTTCCGAAAGGTTGCAATTAAGAAAGACTGCAAAAGCCACCAATGTATATGAATTAAAAATTTCCCTGCAATATTATCTATATGAAGCAAGTTATCATATTACCATTATAATTGTCTATGAATTACAACTACTTTCGGACCACGTTAATTCAAATCATCTATTTTGATTGTTTTTATCATAAACGACATAACCTGTTACTACAGGGTTCACCTATGTGAGTGGTACTGCTGTACTTAATTTGTCACCAAAAACTTTTGAGCACCCGGGATTCACATTACCCAAATATTTCTGACAAATATAAGGCAAAATACAAAAGTAAGGAAAAAATAACGATCATAAGAACTGAAATAAAATATAAAAAACATTCTAAACAATAGCAAACTGTGTATAAACTTTGCAAAATAATATACCAAAAATAATATTTTTTTTACAGATAAAATACGGCGAGAAAAATATCATAAGTCATGACGTTTAGTTGTAAATATATATTTCCTATACCTATTGGTTACAAATAATGCCATGATCTGATATCGATGAATTCAATAATCATTTTGTGAACCTGTAACATAAAACGTACGTTACCAACTTCAGCGTGCACGAACAAATAATGGCATGACAAAATATATTAAATGTTTTAGCATGAAATCATGAGGAGATTAATCAGATCAATACAAACTTGAGTTCATCATTGTCGATCATCAACCTTATATTAACAACAATTGCATCATAAAAATACAACAATGTCATCATAAATAAGATAAAGTTATAAAATTCATACGAGTTAAAACTTATGCAATAATAGAAATAAATGAAAATATCAACTCAATATCAACTATATATATATGCAATTACACCTGACAACTGTTATTTTCAGTTGTTCTTCCACCTATTTACCTTTGAAATTTATTTTATGATACAAAGTGCAGAGTTCTACAGTTATAATAGAATTTGATCCTCATAAAAAATGTCAAAATGACAAGAAACCGGGTTTTTATTACATTTATTAGTGTCACTGGTAAAACAATGAAAAACTATAACGCCAGAAAAATACAAGTGAAACTTGACTTCAGTTGTGTCAGTTGTAGTATTAAATCTAAACGAATTTGTTGCAATATTTTCAATTTAATGCACGGTAACAACTTAAATGCCATGATCCAATCCATCATATCTACATTGACCTCAATTTGTCAACAGTAACATCATATGGCACTATGATAAATTGCCTGGAACATTCTCAAGATATAGCATGGAAACAGCATTAATCGCCATTTTCCAATACCACCTGAGAAGGAAAAGTTACAATAATCAATATTGAATGACCTTAACTTTGTCATCATTAACATAGTGTTAAAATATGAAAAGCATTGTTTAAAAGGTTCATAAGTTATTGCATAAAGTGCGATTGTCGAATGACGTATCATTACTCTAGCGCATGAACGTCAAAAGTGAAAATTGTCACCACTAACAACATATTGGTTTTTGAACAGCCGTGGTAGTTAATATTACATTGAGTTAAAGCAACAAGTATTAAATGTCTTGATGGTTACCTAAGACCCCCGAAACTCTATTTTAATCGTTAGGCTGTGGTCGCAATTACGTGTTGACAACCATATAACGGAGCACTGACATACGTTATAATAAAACCATGTGTTAGTTATCATTTCAGCCGAGTTAAGTTTATCAATGATGTCTAAATTTCAGCTTTGAATTTATCGATCCATGTACATTATTTTTTAAATCAGCATATTTAACTGTCGATTCATGTTACTAGTATATGAATTAAAAAAAAATAAACACAAATATTAGTCTTCATGCTAAAACATTTAATTATTTTCCTTGTTGAAAAGTATAATACCATTATACTTTTAATGTCAACTATTCTTAAACTTTTTTAATAGATGATTGCTGTACAAAAGTATATACATGCATGTTCTATTGAAATTAAAGAATCAATCCATTATTGAATCGTATGATTCTTTTTTACGTTATCGTTATGGTACTCAAGTAAAGATACCAGAACTATACATTGTCGGAGGTTCATGTCTGTCATATTTGTTTTTAGTAAATTGTTTTGTTATAAACTAGGCCGTTAGTTTTCTCGTTTGATTTGATTCACATTTTCAAGTCCGACTATATAGTAAAGGTTTTTCTCATTGTTGAAGGCCGTACGATGACCTATAATTACTTACTTCCACTTCATTTTAATTCTAGTGGATAGTTGTCTCATTGATAATAATACCACATCTTCACATTTTTATATTACATGATTGACCTAAATACTCCGACAAAGGAGTCTATCGATACTTTTACCTTAAATTTCTTATAAGAGAGAACTGGTTCTCAGATGTTTCATAGTACTACAACAGGTACTTCTTATCTGAGATACAGGCAAGATATGCCCTCTTATTTCAATTTCATTTTTGTAATTATTCAAGATAATTAACTTTCAACAATATTTCTAAAGAAATTCAAAGTCTTTAGCTTTCTTTGATACAAAAATTCCCAAAATAATTTACTTTTTGTAAAGTTACATCTATGCGTAAGAATATGTACAACTTTTTTTTATCAGGCCCGAATTAGTGGTGCTATACCTTATAGTACTGGTATACTGTTTTGGTTGGAAAGGACCTTACCATGTGTCTGTTGATGATTTCAGATGACAAAAGACAATTATCACACTATGCTGATATTGCAATCAATTTATTTAAACAATAAAATGTAAAAAAATAAATAAATTATTAAATAAAACCAATGTAATAAACAAAACAAAAACGCAAATGCAAACAGAACAAACAGAACGACAAACCCATTTTACAGCATGCGCCCTATAATCATGTAGTATACATGATATGAGATTTACGTCAGTAAAACACCAAATCAATATATAATAAAATCAGAAAAAGAGGGCAACATATATATATATACTACGCTCAATCGGAAATTGTACAAGAATTTTATCCGGATCAGTTTTTTTCTATTACGGTATATTTAACACTGATAGATACTTCTGCAATCAAAAATTTCCAGCAGATAACAAATTTTATAGCTTACTATAAGTGCAAACCATTGCCCACATGGGAACTATAATTATAGTATTATTTGAATTCTATTTTTTTTTACTTCCGCGTCGACAAAATAACAGTTCAGAAATTTCTTTAAATCATTCCTGGAATGTAATACTCAGTTATTCAAAACAATTATACTCAAATTGAATTCGTACATTTCATCCTAGAAACAAAGTCGCAATAGAAAGCAACTGCTGATATTAAACAAAAGCACGCGTGTAAGCTGATACTGGACATTTCATCATCTCTGTAAGAAATAATTCAAGAGCTTTGTCAGTACTATTATTCGTAAGAATCACGATGAAACATTGTGCCATATGCAATTCTTGCAGACATTAATCCGGTATGGTGGATTTTATAAATGAAACAATTACTTTTTGTTTAATTGTTTTCTTACATTCACTTTTATTGATTGTTTTTAGGATGTTAAAAATTGTAAGGTACAATTTCTGTCCCCAAAGTTAGACCACCTTTTCATGCAGACTTCATACAGATTTATTTAGATTTTTAAATAAAACTTTATATCGTTTCAGCTGGAGCAATTCTAAGTGGAATGGCAGTTATGGTGTGGTACTATTTTGATATTGACAAACTATACTCATTGGACTGGTCTTTCTATGTAGCGATGTCTGGTGGTGGCCTTGCTTTCATAACTTTCTGTATTATGATTGTTTATATATTTGCACTGGCGTTTGAGTGATATTACATAAAAAGATTATACTATGTTATAATTCCAATGCATTCATCAAATTATATGATTGATGATACTTAAAACGAAAATGATGTACATTTTCCATCTTTGAAACTTTGAATTTCGGACTTGGTTAATGAACAACATTACACAACTCTTTTTATGTGATGAATATAATTGTTCTTGATTATTTTCCTGAACCCTAAAGTTGTGAACATTTTCGAATTTGGTAAAACTATTAACCTACAAGTCAAAGTGCATATTTTCCACCCTTTTCGTATACAATAAAAGAACACTTTGCATGCTTTTATTAATCAGTTCAATTTTTAGAGCCTTTTACAGCAAAACGCATCGTTAATAATTATTAAAGTATGGCATCAACATTAACAAAAAAATGAATGTAAGGGTCGAAGTAAACTTGTAGGAGATATACGAGTCATATTACAGAGTGTTAGCAATGCATGGCTTGTAAATCATTGTTTATGTCGTGTTTATTTCAACACAGAATTGAACGATCGGTGACCTCTCCTCGCCTGATATTATTTGCTTGCAAGTCTTCTTCTTCTTCTTCTTAAGTTATACAATATACCATTGACATCCAATAAATACTGTAACATACTGTTGCATACGTGAACAATTTATTTAAATTTTTACCCAAAATTAAACAGAAAATAATTATTTAGTGCAATGAAAATGAAATAATAAATTTGTGATCATAACTATATTGTATTACATTCTTAATTTATGTGATTAAACAATAGTGGAGAGATCAGCAGAAGTGAGCTGTTCCATGAAGCTATCAATTGATGGTCCCTGAACGAGTACCACATGAAGTTGATTCCACTGTGATATTGTGAATGGAAATTATGAGTATCTGTATAAGTCCTTTGATGTATATATGTGCCTGTATGTGAGTGTAGGGGTTTTCCTGCTTCTTGAAACTGCTAGTATTAGTGTGTCAGATGGAATAGCAACAAGATGGTATGATATCTTGTAAATCATTACCAATCTTGTGAGTACCCTACGTTCTGGTAGTGATGGTAATTTCAATGTTTTAAGCATGTTTGTGTTGTGGTACCTGATGCTGATATACCGAGCAGCTCGTCGTTGGACCATCTCAATTGTGGATACCGATTCGGTTGTGTCAGGGGGACATGTCTCAAAATCTTAAACATCAATTTATAACAGTCACTTTGAATTAGTGGAATTCTTAATGACCTAAAACATGCGTTTTAATATCCCTGCCTAACTTCCTATGATTCGTATGTTTATCTTTTCGTACATTAAAGTGTGTTGTCAATCTTGTTGATAATCTCAAAAACCATGAAATACTAATTTAAATTGGTGTTGAAGTCACATTTATCAGTCTCGGTTAAGACTTTAGAAATTCTTAGAATTGTTCTCAAGTCCAGACAGTTTGTAACGGAGCCCCCTATTACAGATTGTTTCTGACGTTTTCAATTTTAACTTTAATTCGTTTTGTTTAAGGGGGCATTAGCTGTCAAATTCATATTCACCGATTTGACTCAAATTCTCATATTCGACTTATAACATAATAAAACGTATATCCAAATTATAAAAAGTCTAAAATAAACAATTTACGATGCATGAGCACGATAATATGTATCAACATTTCGTGTGTATTTTAGTTTAGACGCCATCTAATTAACCACCGAGATGATCTCCGAAGACTGCCGACGGTCATTTAACCCGATATAAACATAAATATAGATATAAATAGATAGCGAACTCGTGCAATTGGATTTTTCTAGGTCTGTTTGATTTCATATTATAGGTTAAACAAATATGTTAATCATCGTTTTTACCTGTATAAGAATGAGTTTTTGTTGATCGAATCAGTCAACCAAACGGTTTACCCTTATTTCACTTCCAAAGTTGACATTTTTTTTCCTTTTGATAACTGAACGCGCCTAGTTCATGATTAAAAATTTACCAGAAAAAAAAATACTAAATTACCACTTGACCAAAATATCATAAAACAGTATCATAAATTCATCAGGCTTAAAATTTTGTGAGACAGACACGCATTTCGTTTACAAAGCACTAATCAGAGAGGCTTGAATCAAAAAAAATAAATTAAAAGGCCAAATAAAGTACGAAGTTGAAGAGCATTGATGACCCAAAATTCTGAAATGTTTTGCAAATACTGCTAAGGTATATTTCTTGGGTAGAAAATCCTTAGTATTTTAAACAATTGAAAGATCTGTAAACAGTTAGTTTATACATGTAGATATGACCACTTATAATGATAATTCATGTCAACACAAGCATGACATTTATAAAGTGTTGTTTTCATTTTTACAGCACTGGGTCGATACTGCTGCTGGTGGGCTGTCAGCGTAACGTAATGTATCCAAGCGATGTAATCGTTGTTTTAATGTAGATATTTAATTCCAATGAAAAGGTTCGTAATGGCCGAAACGTATGGAAACTTGTATTATAGTTTTTATTATATATATATATAAGATTCAGGAAAAAAAGTTCATGGATTCCTAAATAGTTATCAAAGGTACCAGGATTATACTTTAATACGCCAGACGCGCGTTTCGTCTACATAAGACTCATCAGTGACGCTCAGATCAAAATAGTTATAAAGCCAAACAAGTACAAAGTTGAAGAGCATTGATGACCCAAAATTCCAAAAAGTTGTGCCAAATAGGGCTAAGGTAATCTATTCCTGAGATGAGAAAATCCTTAGTTTTTCGAAAAATTTGAAGTTTTGTCAACAGGAAATTTATTAAAATGACCATATAATTGATATTCATGTCAACACCGAAGTGCTGACTACTGGGCTGGTGATACCATCGGAGACGAAACGTCCACCAGCAGTGGCATCGACCCAGTGGTGTAAATAGTTGTGTCCACCGCCACTTCCCAAACATTCAACAATGTATCGTCTGAAGAAAATGAACTGTTCGGTTGCTTAAAAGCAGAGACAACTTAATAAAACCAGCAGATAAAGACGGCGCTGTTATGGACAAATGTTATTACATTCAAGAGGCAGAACGTCAACTTTCTGATGAAATATTTTATAAGAAATTAAACTCTGACCAAACCCCTCAATTCAACAAAGAGGTCACCACAAACTTGAAAATCATATGTGATTTAAATATCTAAAACCTGAAAAATCAAAGCCGGGGCGTTTCTATCTTCTGTCCAAAATACACAAATGTCAATAATCCAGGTAGACCCATTGTTTCTACCAATGACCACCCTACAGAGAAAATATCAGAATTTATTGACTTTCATTTAAGACCACATGTAGATAATGTACCATCCTATATACAAGATACAACACACTATCTTAATAAAATGGAATACTTGAACCCTCTCCCATCTGAAACAATCCTTGTCTCGCTTGTTGTTACCTCTCTCTATTACTAATCTCCCGCATGACGATGGTATTGAAGCCTGCAGGGAAGTCTGGAACTCTTGCACACCCTTCAACTGAATGTCTAGTCCAGCTTCTAACTTTGGTATTGAAATGCAATAACTTCACATTCAATGGTGAACACTTTCTCCAGGTTGATGGAACAGCAATGGGAACAAAGATGGCCCCGACTTATGTCAATATTTTTATGGACAAAATAGAACAGCAAATTCTCAATTCTTCTGTTTATCAATTTCCCTCTTGGTTCCGATTCATCGACGATATTGACATGAAGTGGGATAATACTGAACAAAAAGTCGACGTGTTCATTCAACGTGCCAACGATGCCCATCCCTCAATAAAATTCACTTATAAAAACTCTGACTCTAAAGATCACATTTTTTGACACTGATACGCTAGTGAAGGATGGAATCATATTTACAGCATTGCACCAAGAGCATTCCCTACAGCCAGGCCGTACGAATAAAACGCATTTGCTCCACCAAAAAATAAAAAAATATGATTTGTCCAAAAAACTCTTGTTCAAATTACAATTTGTACAAAATTTGACTGAAATTCACTTATAACTTGTACAAAGGATATATGATAATTTAACATGATACAAAAGATGGCCTTTGTTATATTTTTAACAGTAATAAATTTAATTGGATTAAGGAAAACAGTTTTGCATTCAACTCTTCTTGAACACTTTTGGAATATTCATTATTTGGGGTCAATTGTTTTAATAAATTTTCAAAGGTATATATCCCCGGTGTTTGTGAACACTATTTTGGTCGTTTACACATTTGTTGATATATTGTAAACAGGGCCAGCATTATTAATCAGCAGGATAAATTTGTCCAAGAAATATTGAACCTAGTCCAGAATAATATATGAAAGCACAACCATGTGTTCACCAAGGATTGTTTGTACCGCATTGGAACAGCTGTAGGATTTTTTATAGGATATTTGTCTAGAATTCAAATTGAAGCTGTTAAAGACACACGTTTATTCGCAGCAACGGTTCATGGGCTTCATCTTTCGTTACGTGAAGCAGCTTAAAAGCTTTTAAAAACTGGTGGTCAGGGGTTTCTTTCATGTAAATGCAAAGGGGGTGCAGCATTCTGGAATAATTTTGAACTCTGGAAAATTGATAAGAAATGTATGATAAAAACTAACCCAATTAAGGAGGGTTAGTCATGCATGCTACGGGGTTAGTTATTTCATACTGAAATATCAGTGAAAGTAATTTGAACCTTAGCCATGCGCTAAAGTTGGGTTAGTTTTCATCATACATTTCTCATCAATTTTCCAGAATTTGAATTATTTCAGATTCAAATAATTCCTTGTTTAAATGTAAAAAGCAAAGGATTATGTGCAATTCCCGATCCCATAATTCTATCACATGCTCAAATTTTTATTCTTCCATCAGCGGGATTCGAACCCCTGCTATAGCCTAGTAGGTCCAGTGGTCTAGGGCGCTTGACACAGTGCAGGCTGTTTTGCCACGATGTCACAGAGGCAGGGGTTCAAATCCCGCTGAGGAAAAGAACATAAAGGAGTAGGATCGGTAAGACCCCTTTTTGGCCCCAAAATGGAGCATTTTACAAAGTTGTTCAAACTGAAAACTTTTAGCTATTTATTGGAAAGTAGAATACTTTTGTTACATAAATTTGGTCTGTTTTTGACAATACAATGGACATGCATCAGGTACAAGCATCATTATTTATTGCATACAACAATACTGATTTTCACAATTTTAGCATTTGTGCTAATTTTCAGACGGTTTTTGTCTAAAATTGAAGTGGCAGCACTTGTGTTAAGTCTTGATATTTAAATATGTGTTGTATTTAATGATAATACATAACATATATGAATGTTGAGTCTGAACACGAATGCAGCCACTTCCATTTTAGACAAAAAACCCTCAGACAAGTGACGTTTTATGTCATATTTGATATATTTTTCATATTTCAGCTTGGATTTGAGCGTCTTTAATGACCAAATCAGTTCAAATCTTTAACATTAACTAATTGAATCAACTAAAGTAGACACTTAAGTGTTTGAAATATGTCAAAAATCATTCATGAGATGTACTTCAAAATTTAGGCCGAAATTACCCCTTACCGACCCTTCTCCTTTGTTGACGCAGATCTAGCTATAATCTGAGTAATTAAAACAGAGGCTTGAACTTGAAGAAATTCAAGTACGTCTTAGTGATATCAAACGTATTGAATCACATAAGCTTCACGTCAAGCAGATAAACAAATTTAAACGTGATGGTGTGCAAATTAACCACCCTTTAAACAGAGGCTGACCTTCAAAAAATTC